TAGTTATCTATGAAGTCCTTTCCTGAAACAAATTATAAAAAGGAAAAACACAACAACAACAAATCAGAAATTTAAAAAGAAAACCATATCATTTTGTTTCATAGTCCCTGTCAGCCTGTTGTGGTAGAAAAGGCCCTTGATGAAGATCAGATGCCCTGAGTTTGAGCCTTACCTGTGCCAGTTATTAGCTGTATGACTTCAGTACTCTTGAGCCACAGTTTTGCTTTTTATTAAAGAAGAGCCAGTGATCTCTGCTCTGCCTTATCTACCTTGCACAAAGTTGTTAGGAGGATCAGGTGGTAGACAGTGTTTGTGAAAGAAGCACATGTAGCCCCTGTGGAGCAGAACAGTGCAACAAGGAGGGCTCCAGGGTCCAGGAGCAGATTCTGTCTCCCCCACTAAAAACCGTGTACCTTGAGCAAATCACTTGAACTTTCTAAGCCTTACTGTGTTCATGTATCAAATGGTGACCGTAAAGGTGCTTATCTTAGAGATTATGAAAATTATAAAAATTAAATGAGAACATGCATGTGAAAAATTAGCACATTGCCTGGTACATATTAAGCAGTTAAATGTGAATGCTGTCATTATTAATAATATGTTTCAAAAACATTGAAATGTGGCCGGGCGCGGTGGCTCACGCCTGTAATCCTAGCACTCTGGGAGGCCGAGGCGGGTGGATCGTTCAAGGTCAGGAGTTCGAGACCAGCCTGAGCAAGAGCGAGACCCCCATCTCTACTAAAAATAGAAAGAAATTAATCGGACAACTAAAAACTATATAGAAAAAAAATTAGCCGGGCATGGTGGCACATGCCTGTAGTCCCAGCTACTCGGGAGGCTGAGACAGAAGGATTGCTTGAGCCCAGGAGTTTGAGGTTGCTGTGAGCTAGGCTGATGCCACGGCACTCTAGCCCAGGCAAAAGAGTGAGACTCTGTCTCAAAAAAAAAAAATTGAAATGTTAGATACATGTAAATTACTTTTATCCCAAAGATACCGAGAAATACTTAAAAGAATTAGAAAAAATTAGTTGAAAAACAAGTTTAGATAGTGAATTTTAAGCATAACTTTAGATATTTACGATAAAATAGAAGGTAAAAAACATAAACTATGTAATATATTGTGACACAAAAATTTACTAAATTTTACATAACTGAGTCATTTTGACTGTCATTTCTTCTTTTCACCAAATATGTATGTTGTATATACAATATGTACATATATATATAAATAGTACTTTAAGCTCTTGTTATTGTGAACAAACACAACAGATAGAAGGGAAATATAAGACACCACCACTGCCCACAAGAACCTTAATCTAAATGTAGTCTAGTCATCTTAGGCAAAGGAAGACGACTACGGTTGGAAATGTTGTAGCATGCCTCTGAGTTTGAAGCAGCCAAGACCAAAATTTTTTTTAAAAGGAGAATGTTGGTTTCCATTATTCACCATTATTTTAGGAAATAAGCATATGGATTCCAAATAAATTTATTTCCCCCTGAATAAAGCTCTAAGGGATTTCCATGTTAGTTGTGTTTTCAGTAGATGTGTTATTCATTCATTTGTTCAATAAATATTGAGTATCTGTGATGTAAAAGATACAAGACCTCTGCCCTCATGGAATTTACTGAACAACTGACTAGACAAATAAATTTTTAATTATAGCTATGATAAGTGTTAGCAAGAAGTCCAGGGTGCCAAGAGAGCATGTGACAGAGGAACTTTACCTAGTATGAGGAGCAGAGGAGGCTTTTCTTCTCAGCAGAGTTTTGTATGGTTATTTTTTTACTATCCAGTCTCAATAAAAATTAAAAGCATAATGTTCAAGTGTAGTTCTGTGAAATTGTTTCTTCAGGAAGGTAGATTAATTTTATCATGGTGTATAGCTATTCTGTAGTGTCATTTGAAAAGAAGTAAAATTTAAAGAACCTGGGAAATTAACAGTGTGTACCCCAGGCTATCCCTCTCAATTATCTACCACCAAAGAGGAAGGTCTTTATTTTTCTTTTTGTTTCCTAATTTCTTTCAAGTTACAGAATGCACATTAGCTTATTGGAATAAATCTAATCTGTTGAAAACCTATGAAATAAGAACTAAATTATGCCATTTCCTAGGAAAGTTATTTAGCGTATATGTAGCATTCTAGGTATTATAGAAATATATGTGATATACCACATATTCATGTATGTGTGATATACATACATAAAACAATATACACAATTTTTTTTGAAAAAGCAATTTGTTTTATACTCTACATATCATTCTTTTTTAAAAAAAAGCAATTTGTTTTATACTCTACATATCATTCTGTAACTTGCTCACTCAGTATATTCTGGACATCCATGAACATACACATCTTTTTAATGTGGCATTATATTCATGTTATAGACATATCAAAATTTACTTAACTTTTCTTCTATTGTTATGCATCCAGGTTAGCTATAATTCTATTACAAATGTTGCTCCAACAAATACAGTTGTTTATACACCATTGAAAGTATATGTATTTCTAGAGGTTAGATACCTAGAACTAGATTATAGAGTATGTACATTGAAGTTTTTGACAAGTGCCACCAAATTGCCCTACAAAAAGCCTTATCAATTTATAGTCTAAGTAGGTATAACAGTGCTCTTCTCACACCATCAGTGGTACTGAAAATTATCAGTCATTTCTGTCAGCCAGAGAGGTAGAAAACTGCATTAAATTGCATGTCTCTGAGCAATAATGAGAATGTCTTTTAATATATTTATTAGTTATTTGTATTTTACTCCAAATTTCCAGTCCACACATCATACCCTTATTCCACAGGAGTTTTTTTTTTTTTTTGTGAGACAGAGTCTCACTGTGTTGCCCGGGCTAGAGTGCCGTGGCATCAGCCTAGTTCACAGCAACCTCAGACTCCTGGGCTCAAGCAATCCTTCTGTCTCAGCCTCCCGAGTAGCTGGAACTACAGGCATGCGCCACCATGTCCGGCTAATTTTTTTTTCTATGTATTTTTAGTTGTCCAATTAATTTCTTTCTATTTTTTAGTAGAGACGGGGTCTCGCTCTTGCTCAGGCTGGTCTCGAACTCCTGAGCTCAAACAATCCGCCCGCCTCGGCCTCCCAGAGAGCTAGGATTACAGGCGTGAGCCACCGCGCCCGGCCTATTCCACAGAAGTTTTTAAAATTTCTTTCTTATTGAATCTTAGAACCTCTTTGTATGTTAGGGATACTAACTCTTTGATTATTTTTTGTTGTTACAAATGTTTTCTCTCCAGTTGCTTATTACTCTCTTAATTTTTTACTTGGTGTCACTTGCTACATAAAACTTAATTTCTTATAAGCTGACATTCACATCTGTCATTCTTTCCCACATGTCTCCTGCGGTTTGTGTCTTACTTCATAAAGCTTTCCTAAGTGGCTTTTGGTAAGAACTGTATATAAGGAATTTAGAGTTGCCTTCTCTGATAATTACTTGGAAAAATGCAGTGTGGTTGGGCAATATAAACCAGGTGTACAAATAACTGTTTAATAAGGACCAAGGATATTGGAGACTCAAAAAAAAAAAAAAAGTATAAATTATATCTGGGACCAGGAAAGTCTTCACAGAGGAGACTGGTTTGAAATGGGTCTTGGAAAACAGAAGTGGGGAGTTAGGACAAAAAGGGTACACAGTTCAACGGAAGTTATCACAAGAATAACCAAAGGAGAGAGTGAAGGAAATAGCAAGAATCTATTTACTGAGCCCCCACAGTGGTTCCACACCGGGGGTCAGGTGTTTTGCATGTGAAATCCTTGTAAAATCCTCCCAGCAATCTTTAGAGAACATTGTATATGCGTATAAGCACGAGCATGTATGTCACTAACTTGTTATTCTCATTGATGGATTTTGACTTCAGTGCCTTCTACTCCTGTACATCTTGCCAATGGGATGAAAAACTACCTGAAGAAACCTTCCTACATGCAAGACGGTGCTATAGATTCTTCTGAGGATCACCACTGGCCACGTGGTACTCTGAGGCACATCTCAGAGAGCTCCTTTGGACTGTCTGGGGGCCTGCGGGAAGGAAGCCTGAGTTCTCAGGATTCCAGGACTGAGAGTGCCAGCTTGTCCCAGAGCCAGGTCAATGGTTTCTTTGCCAGCCATTTGGGTGACCAAACCTGGCAGGAATCACAGCATGTCAGCTCTTCCCCATCTGTAGTATCCAAAGGCACCGAGAAAAAGAGGATTTCCACTGACAGTAACCGAAGCAAAGCTAAAAAGCCAGGCATTTCAGATGCAACAGATTACTCGGACCGTGGAGATTCAGACATGGATGAAGCCACTTATTCCAGCAGCCAGGATCATCAAACACCAAAAAAGGCATAGTTTAATTTTAATCTTTTGAGGTTTTTTTTATTTAACAAAGCAAACATCAGCAAATATATTACAGAGCAGAATAATCTACTACAAGCTTCTTATATTATTCTGGAAAGGAGGAATAGTCTATATCTTCCGCTACTAACTGCTACTGCATTTGATGCTAACTCTCGAAGAAATTAAAAGCTTTGAATACAAACTCTAAAATGGCTGTTACTCTGCGAACTTACTACCTAATAACACAAAGGACGGAATATTCAGATTATGATTTTCTTACAAGTTGTTCACCTCTTGCATATTTAATGTTTATATTAATACGAGAACTTTAATATCTAAAAAAATTGTTACTGGATAGTTCATATAATGGGCAGTTGAATTTACTGTTCATAGCCTAAATTCTTCTGAAGATCTGAATGGGTGTTTCAATGTCAACAACATTGAAAATCGCTCATTTCTAGAAATGATATAAATTTAAAATCACATTCACCAACACTTTTAGAAAAAACCTATGCCTTTTTTTCCACTGAAAAATCAACATTCCTCACAAGAGGGTTATGCCCTTATAAATAAGGCTTAGGTATTGTTTCAGTGTTTACACTGGATTTGTAAATATAAGCAAAGAAAACATGAAGCATACTCATTTTAGAGGCTCAAGTTTAAAACTACGACTTGATATATATTTTTGAAGGAAATGAAAATATTTTGTAAATTTGGGACTATAAAAAGCATTTAGTGGGGATTATGTAAAGGCAGGTTCAAAGTGGGTTCTATCTAGGTTTTTCTCTGTCACATCTAGCTGTTTAACCTGAAGCAAATCCTTTAATCTTGAGTCAATGAATGCATTAGACTAGATGATCTCTAAGATCTCTCTCAACCCTTGTGTTCTTTGTCAACACTATCATTATTATCTTGTTTTTTCTTAATTTTTCCAAAAAAACATGTTTGTTTTCTAGTAATAATTCATTTTGACTCTAACTAGAAATCCTTTTTTGTTTGTTTGTTTTTCTTTGTTAAGGAACCTTCCTCCTCAATGAATACATGCAACAAAATGAATTTTAAAACTTTTTCTTCATCACCTCCTAAACCTGGCGATATCTTTGAGGTTGAACTGGCTAAAAATGATAACAGCTTGGGGATAAGTGTCACGGTACTGTTTGACAAGGTTTTCAAATGTTTTCTTAATTTTCAGCAGCCTTTGTATATCAACTTATTATTTGAATTATTTTGCTCCAAAAGGGACATTTGTCAAATACTGCTAACATTAAAATTGAATCATAGCCTAAAACTTTTTAAAAAATTGATGGTGCTAGTCATTTTTTTCCTGTGGTTTAAAAGAAATTAGACAAATGCTGCCTTTTTCCCCATACATATCATACTTACTTAATCTGAATATAAGCTTGCAAAATATGTATAAAATTAATGCATATGCTTTATTTACATTTGATAGTTTCTGCATGAGTATAGACTAATGAGATGATACATCTTTAACCTACATCTTGAATAATAAAAGACCGTGTATATTTACATATACTTTCTCTCCATAATATATAATACCTTCTAAACGTGTTTAGTATCTTAAAATGAGAAGTTCCCAAGGAATGTATGTATTTTTAAGGTAGTTAAAATATGAGGATAGAGTATTTGATAAGATTATTTTAGAATTTTACTAATGAATATGCTATCCCTAAATTGTAACATTGTCATTTATCATATTTAAAGTATATTAATAATCATAAAAAGCCATTTGGAAACAGTAGAAACAGTACTATAAATATATTGAGGTCAAAAAGAAAACCTAATTTCCTAGCACATTTTAAAATATTATATTACTTTTCCTTTGGCACTTAATTTCTTTAGAATTTTATTGTCTTCTTTTTGTGAAAGGAGATAAAAGCTGCCTGTCCCTAAGAAAGAGAAAATTGACTCATTAGATCTCATCTATATCATAAAAACACTTTCTCTACCAAAGCCTTTTTAAAATGAAAGAAAACTTTTTTCTTGACACATGGGATTTGCTTTCAGATTAGCAAATATGATTTAAAGAATATTATTTCATATACTTTTTTCTGATAGCTATATTCTCACACTAATTTTGCATAGATAGATTTTGCTTTCTGCTTGCTCATAATGCATGATGTAAACTTACAAAGGAAAAATCATTCTTTATATAGTCAAGATCTTGCATATTGTTATTTGCTGAATTGAATACAGAGTTTTGCTAAAAATATACTGCTTTGACATTTGAAAAACTTAGCTACCAGTGTTCTTGGTTGAAATAATTGCACACGCTGATGCGATGCTACTGCTTAAGCTGATGAACTGAATTCTTACCAGGGCTCAGATTTGAAATAAAGTGTAAAATTTTTCATATTTTTAAATATTATTTTCTTTTCCGTTTAGGGAGGTGTGAATACCAGTGTCAAACATGGTGGCATTTATGTGAAAGCTGTTATTCCCAAGGGAGCAGCAGAGTCTGATGGTAGAATTCACAAAGGTATAGTTTTTGCGTGTATGTAGAATTATATGGATGAATATCACAACAAATAGACAAGAAATTACAAAGTTGATATTGACCTTCAAATTCATACTATAAAATAGGGACATACTCAGTTATGAAACTACACATTAAGAAACTCCTTGAGAAACAATTTAAGTAACATATTAAAGAAACTCTGCAATGCAACTTTGTCCAGAATTTGTCTGAGTCTCTCCTCAAACAAATTAGTATGAAATAAGACCACACGGTGTTAAAAGCATGTAGAATCTTTATTTTATGACTTGTTTCTTTTAAAATAACTGCCTGACTTATAGGTGATCGTGTTCTCGCTGTCAATGGAGTTAGTCTGGAAGGAGCAACCCATAAGCAAGCTGTGGAAACACTGAGAAATACAGGACAGGTAACATCATTAAACCAACCTTTTAAGATACCTTAGAAGAACATAATAATGTGTGATTAATATCAATCCTCATTGAGATCTCTAAATTTATTAGTTAATGAAAAAACCAAGCCTGATTTCATGTAACCATTCTAAGGAGTTTTTTTTCTTCCCCAACTGAGAAGCAAGTATTATAAGAAGAGGTTGTACTAAGGAAGCTGGCTTTCTATGTCATATTTACCTCTTATATTACCAAAAAGATCTGACAGGGGGAAGGGTGGAGATTGCATTTTTTTAATTTTTTATAAACATCTACTAATTTCAAGTGGCTTTTACTCCTAGTCCTTCTTTAGCCCAAAGGCTAAATTCATGATGTTCAAATATATTTTGGGTCAGAGAGTTTACCATATTGTTTATAATGGTTTTTGTATTATATAAAGTATAATGGTGATTTTTTTCTAATACCTAAATTTTCTATAGCATGTTTGTTATTGTCATAGATTTCTAACATGTTTTTGTAATAGATTTTTTCTTTTTAATCATCTGTCTTTCCATACAGAAAGTAATGGACACTTGATTTTGAAACTTTTATTAATAATCCCTATTTTTGTCTATTTTTCTCTTCCTCCACCATTTTGTTGGACCAGGTAATTACTTAAAATGATTTTATGCCATCAACTATAGAAAGTCCTGAAAATTTATCTGTTTCTTATCATTCTTCTAATTAATGAAGTGCTATTCCATTTATCCAGGTAGTTCATCTGTTGCTAGAAAAGGGACAGTCTCCAGCATCCAAAGAACATATCCCTGTGACACCACAGTGTACCCTTTCAGATCAGAATGCCCAAGATCAAGCCCCAGAAACAATGGTGAAGAAAACAACTCATGTTAAAGACTACAGCTTTGTCACTGAAGGTCAGGCCTTAGGAGACTATCATCTCTGCCTTAAATTACTCCTGGCTTATTTAAATTTGATTTTTAGATGTTAGATTACAATTCATGCCCTAGTTTCTTTAATTATTCTTGTCAAGTATAAATAATAATCTGATGCAACACCATACAGAATTAAAAGACAGAAACATATTTGCAGCTCACAGAGTCTAAAAGACTTTGGGTAATGAAGTCATGCGTGCTTATGGTCATTTAATAATGCCTTAAATAGTTGTAAAATTCAAAAGGGACAAAATAAGTATAAATAATTGCTGAGATGGCTTCAACCCTGTGTGAAACCTTGACTCTTAGATTTTCTGTATTTCTATTTAATTTTATAGACTAGTGAAGTTAACCCTAGGCAGAAATTCACCTAGCAGTTCCCAGATACTGGTCTTTGTTCTACCAACTATGCTAGCCTTTGAACATATCACTAATTGGTAGTAAAATAAGAAAATTAAGAATGATGTATTAGTGAGTTTTTCATAAGGCTAAATGTGTTTATAATATTGAAATACTCTTTATTCTGGGATTCCATCTATATTCCTTTTAAGGAGTCTTTTATAAGTAATGGTGGTAGTATACAGTAATTGTTTTCTATTTTATTTTAAATCCCTGTTGATTACACAAATGTTAGTAACTCTGAATCAGTCCCAAAAATAAGGGGAAAAAATAGCCCAGACTATATTTTTTCTGATTATGAAAATAAAACTAGCATGCCTCCTTTATCACACTGTTCTTTATTCTTTATTTCTTCCATCATTCTTTCTTTCAATATGTTAAATTCTTTTCTGGTTATTCTTCTAATTTATTTTGCTGATGAGAATTTTATTAGAATGCCATTGCAATTTATCTGGATTAAATGATACCTCACCGAAATATTATAATGTCAACCTACTTCCTCATACCCTCCTCTAACATTTATTTTGCTCCTTATCTCTCCCACTGTATAAATGAATTTCTCCCATCCTCTCCTTCCTTGGATTTTTCCATTTTTTTCTCTGTTATTATGCTGTCTTTTAAAACACATAGGATTGAAGCATAATTCCATTTTTAAAACCCTGCTTTCAGAATTCTCCTTTCTGTTCAGTTTAGTTCATGCAGTTGGTTGATTAAATTAAGATTTCTTAGTGATGGGGAGATACTGTAAAATAGGATTTGAGTATAGTATTAATATAAGGGTACAATAAGTACATATAGAGTTGTAAATATTGAGGGGAAATTGACTTTTTAAAATGTGTCTGAAAGTATATATGTTCATATGTAATCACAGCATGTTAAGAATATTTAAATTTTTTTATATCTTTTTCCTCCAGAAAATACATTTGAGGTAAAATTGTTTAAAAATAGCTCAGGCCTAGGATTCAGTTTTTCTCGAGAAGATAATCTTATACCCGAGCAAATGAATGTGAGCATAGTAAGGGTTAAAAAGCTCTTTCCTGGACAGCCAGCCGCAGAAAGTGGAAAAATTGATGTGGGAGATGTTATCTTGAAAGTGAATGGAGCCTCTTTGAAAGGACTGTCTCAGCAGGTGAGCCTGTAGCATGGAGAGTGCAGCATTTTTAATGACGAGATGGATTGGCCTTTCCAGATGGCTTTATAATGCTGTCCCTTCATTTGTCATTCTTGGTACCCCCCAGGAAGTCATATCTGCTCTCAGGGGAACTGCTCCAGAAGTATCCTTGCTTCTCTGTAGACCTCCACCTGGTGTGCTACCGGAAATTGATACTGCTCTTTTGGTGAGACCTGTGAAAACGAATTTATTTTTTTATGGAATATCAATGTAATGAGATTAACTAATTCAGCTGTACTGGTTTCATCATGGATTTATCTCCTGGGTTTTATATGTAGCAGCTTCTTTAGGAGTATTATTTTGTGTGTGTCACTTAACCTCTTCGAGTATATTCCATAGTTATCATATAAAGTCATTCAATTTACTTTCTCTTCTCTCCTTTCCAATTCTAGGATTCTAGGATTTCAAGAATTTGTGTTCTGAGTATAAGTAGAAAAAGACATAAAGTAATGGTTACAAAAACCTTTTGTCTATTTCTTCATTGAACCAAACAAGGAAAAGTTATTCTCATTCTGAGCTAGTTTGGATAAAAATGAGAATTATTTGAGATTTTTAGCCTTTTTTTTTTCCTAACACTGTAAATCACAGAGAAAGAGATATGTTTGCCCATTTCCCTCTCTTATGTCAAGAAAGAACTAAGGAATCTATAATCTATTTTGATGATAACTTACAAATTGCATAGTGACAGGTCAGAATCTAACCATAGACGAATACTAATATAATTAAAGAAAGACTGCCTTTGGCCTTTCTACTTAAAATAGTCTTCCACTACCAGTGAATGGTAACTCCTGGATATGAAAGGCAGGATTATCTGGGCCAGAAGCTTAAACCCTTTTATTGGGGAAAGGGAAAGTATTAGAAGGACATTAATAAGAAAGTAACATTTCTGTAAGATGCATTCTAAATAGCATTTTTAAGGATTACATTGATTAGAATCTCAATCATTGACAGGAAGAACTGAATGGAACTCTTTTGATGAGTATATCGATTGATACCAGTTTCTAGAAAACAACTGGAAAATATTTAACAGGGCTTTTTAAAAGCATCCTACATTCTGACAGTGTAAAAAATTACAAGGAAATAGAAACTGAGGTGAAAATTTACTAAGAAGTTCTCTTAGATTTCTGTTAATAGTGAAAAGCTAGAAATAACTCTGTAAATAATAAAAGGAGAAGGCTGAAATAAATTGAAGATATAGCCATCCATAGGACCATTATCCAGGTATTAAAATTATTTCAAAGTATATTTAAGGCCTTAAGAAAACACTCATAGAAACCTAAATTTTGAAATAGGAGATAAAGTACAATATATATTACTCTAATTCTGATTTAAAGTATAAATTATACAATATTAATAGTTAATAATGTTATATATGAATACTTTCTCTAATGATCGTGTATTACTTTTATTATCAGAAAATCAATTGAGTATTTTGGTAGAAAGCACTGTTGTTCAATAGGTTCATTTTTAATTAAATGTTTCTAAAATTAGTATAAGTTGTCACACTCTGATCTTTTTATATGTGTTCATTACAGACCCCACTTCACTCTCCAGCACAAGTACTTCCAAACAATAGTAAAGACTCTTCTCAACCCTCATGTGTGGAGCAAAGCACTAGCTCAGATGAAAATGAAATGCCTGACAAAAGGAAGAAACGTTGCAAGTCCCCATCCAGAAGAGACAGTTATAGTGACAGCAGTGGGAGTGGAGAAGATGACTTAGTGAAAACTCCAGCAAAGACATCAACTATGACCTGGGGTTCAACTTTGCATCAGACTCTAAGCAACATGGTATCACAGGCACAGAGTCAACAAGAAGCACCCAAGACTCAAGAAGATACTATTTGTACCATGTTTTACTATCCTCAGAAAATTCCCAATAAACCAGAATTTGAAGACAGGTATTATCTGTATTATGTGAAGCACTAAAAGCAACTGGCTGTTGTTAGTAACAGTAGCAGCAACATAAATTTCTCTAAGATCGTAATGTGTCTATGTGTGAACTTGACAGTGGTGAGGCAGGTGATGACTCTATTGGATGTCTAGCTGTTGTGACTGACAGTTTTAGTTATCAAACCAGTAAGCTCTGAAGCCAGTCAGCCTGAGCCTTGCTTCCCTCTTGAGCATGTTTACTAGTAATTGAGAAAGTTGTTTATATTTCATGATCAGTCATACTACTTAACCTGAAAGAGAAGAGACTTATTTAGGTAATGATGCAGTGGGAAAGTAGGGAGCAGAAATATAAAGGTAAAACGGGAAAAGAGGAAAGAGTTTGCAAAAGATAAACAAAAGATGTGCAAAAGACACAGAAGATGGGGAAAGAAGAAATGATTGAAAGCGTAGAAGCATACAAAGAGAAAGACCACATCTGTACTTCTAATCGTTATTCATGCGTTTTACTGTTTGGTTATGTCTGTGTATATCCAGGTCA